TTTTCTGTTACAACGAATATTTGATTAAGGAAATGACATATATATATATATTTCTTGAATAGAGTTTCGTGGCATGCAATGCAAGTCACTTCTTCGAAAGGGTGTTGTGATAGTGTTATTTCATACAAACATTGCTATATTTAATTAATAAGTGAAATCAATGTTGAAAAACTGGAACTATTTTATATAAATTAATAGTGAAGTTAGTTTAATACATTAAATCGATAAATAAAAATTTTGTACATAAAATTACTATAATAAAAGTTTTATCAAATATATGATATTTTACTGTAAAATTATATATATTTCTGGAAATTATACAATTTCATACAATTCATTTAAAATTAATTCACACATAATTAATTTAAATTATTTACAGTTAATATAAAATACTATATTATTTACTAATGTATATTACTTACAATTACTATTTTTCGAACAAAATAAATAAGATTATGTTTCATTAAGTTATATATATATATATATATATATATATATTTATCCTATAGATATATATATTTATACTTATATATATATATAACTTATATACTTATATATATATATATATATATATATATATATATATATATATATATATATATATATATATATATATATATATATATATATATATATATATATATATATATATATATATATATATATATATATATATATATATATATATATATATATATATATATATATATATATATATATATATATATATATATATATATATATATATATATATATATATATATATATATATATATATATATATATATATATATATATATATATATATATATATATATATATATATATATATATATATATATATATATATATATATATATATATATATATATATACATTTTATAAAATTTATCATTTTAAAATAACAATAATTTATATTACTGTTTTTGTTTCAGACAAAATGAAATTGTGGTTAGTTATACTTCATATCGTTTTAGTTGCAACCAATATATGGGTCACAGCACATTTTCATGAGGAACTTCCTGAAGATAATGAATTTGCTGAGTTTGAAGATTTTGAAGAAGAAAAAACAAGTCAAACAATTAATGACCGTAATACAGAACATCTTCAAGAATCAAATAATAACCAAGATTTTGAAGAAGATGATGTTTTAATTGTTGATGGTGATAGTGAATTTGATCATTTTCAAGATGAAGAAGAATTTGAAGGATTAGATGCAGCTGGAGGAAATGCTGGACCAAAAAGTGATGAACCATCTACTTTAACAATTACAAAAATACCACTTCATTTACGTGCAAGATGGGATAGTTTTTACTTAGAAATATTAACAATCATTGGATTATTAGTATATTTCATTAATTATATAGCAGGGCGTTCCAAAAATGCCCACATAGCAGAACTATGGCTCATAGAGCATAAACAGCTTTTGCTAGACAATTTTTCTCTTGTTGGTGATACAGGAAAATCAAATGAAGATACATCTGAAAATGGTTTGGTAAAAGAAAGTCAATCTCATTATAGTTTATATTGCTCAGGAAGAATTGGATGTGATTCCATGTTAATTGAATTGAAATTAATTAAAAGACAAGATTTAGTTGCAGTATTAGCACAGCTTGTACGGCCTCAAAATGATCAAGCCCATATACGTGTAGAATTAGCAAAAGAAGAAACAGATAATTTTGTATTAGCAATTGCTACAAAAAAAACTGCTATGCATTTAGTACGTGATATGGCTGATATTAGCGTTTATTGTCCAGAAAAGAGACCAGGAGAAAAATTTGGTCTTCCATCAGGTTTCTATGTAATGTCTGAAATTGCTGAAGCAGCATCAGCTATTTTAGATACAAGAGTTCTACAAGCATTTTCAAAGTTTGCACCATATATAGATTATATACATATTAGTGATCAATTTAGTGGTCCTAAACAACAAGAGTAAGTGGTAACAAATGCATTTTATTTAAAGAATATCTTTTTTTATTTTTATAATTTAATATACTTCACTTTTATTTTTATTTAAGAGATACAACTCAATTAACAATGCCTGAAGTAAAAAGAGTTTTACTTGTTGGACTAAATATAACTATTAAAGGACGGACTACTAATGCAGAAGGTCAAGAAAAACTAAAACTTCTTTTACAATTAACATTTTACTTATTAGATAAATTACGTCGTTTTAAATTATCTAAAGAGGTTTGTTCATATTTTATTTTTTTTTAAATTATATTATCTTAATATATGATATTATCTTATATTGAATTTTCATTTTATTTAGGGTAAAAGTAAAGCAGATAAAAATAGATTAAGAGTAGAAGAAGCATTCTTAAAAATAACTCATGCAGCTAGAGCTGAAGCAGCAGCACAGCGTAGAGAAGAACGTCGTAGAGCTGAAAAAGAACGTATACTACAAGAAGAAGATCCTGATAAACAAAGAAAATGGGAAGAAAAAGAACAACGAAGACTTGCTAAAAAACGAGCACCCAGAATGAAACAACTTAAGGTTAAAGCATTATGACCAAATAAAATTAATTATAGAGAATTTGTTGAAATTTCTGAAGAGCTATAAGTTGCTCAATTGAACTGCCTATTTAGTTTAACTCATATAGTGAAATTATATTATTTCATTCATCTTTACACATTTTTGCACTATAAAATTTTCAATAAATGATTTTTAATTATTATAAAAATTATAGGTAGATTGCATACTTAAAATTGATAATTACTTATATATTTTTTTGTTCTTAATTTGTGATATGTAATGTAATATATATCTTCATTTTGTTTTCATATTGAAAGTATATCATTACTGTTATGTATTTATTTTATGTCATAATTATTGTAACTTAAATAAGTTATAAACTGGACATAAAATCTTAGAAAAATTTCTTTTGATTTGATAAAAATAGAACAATATATTATTAATATATTAATTTACAATTTTAATATTATTTATTACATAATTTTTTTTTAAATTCATCTTTTTATGTCATGACTTCTTAACTAAATATATACATGATAACCCATAACATATAAAACAATTCTGTTATATATATATTATTTTAATTATAAATCGTATATCAAGATATATATAAATAATCATATATTTAAGATATATACTTTTCATTAAATTAAATTCCATTATTATAATATGCAGGGCAATATATTTTCCATGTACAAGATGAAATTATATATTTCTTTAAACTATCTTTAAAATTATTAGAAATAAAAAAAAATCTTATTTTAGTCTTCTAATAATTTTAAAGATCTTTTAAACTCTGCCTAATTGTATGAAACATGCAAAATAATTAAAATCAAATGGAACAAATGAGAATAGAAGAATATAAATTAATAGAACAAAAAAAAAATTAAGAATATAAAAGAATAAAATAAATTCATATAAAATTTATATTTATTTATATATTGATTCATATATCATATATAATATCAATTGAATGCAATATTTAAATAAGTTATATATTAATAATTATTATTTAAATAAATTGTGTGTTTAATGAATATAGAAAAATGTAAACTCATTTTAAATTTTAAATTAATTTTAAATTGCTTAAATATATATAAATATTATTTTGAAAATATTTTTTCAATTAATTTTTTAATATTATATTTGTACAATTCAAAATTTTAAAAAAATAATGTACAACATTGCAGCAATTCATATTATAAGAAAGAATATTGTTATTGAACAAAAATTACAGAAAAATAAAAACATTTAGATTTTTAAGGAAATAATGTGAGCATAAATTTATTATAGTATTTATTATATATACAAATAAATATTTCTTTAAACATAAAATAAATTTTTCGTTAAAAATATATGATAAAAGATAATCTTTAAAATAATTTATCACAACCAGTTTGCATTGAAATTGTAAATTTCATATTTATCTTGTATATAAGTATTCAAGTACAAAATATTTCATAAATTATTGTAAGTCAAAAATTTTCTTATTGCTATCAATAACTGTCTTACAAAATAAAAAATTGTTATCAGATATAAAATCAGCTATAATGATATTTAAACCACCACGACCAGGTCGTTTGTGATTTATCCAAAGAAGAATTGCTTTTTGACATAATGGTATTAAATCTCTCTGTAATGTTCCACATAAATGTTTCAATATATATGAAATATCAGGAGTTAAAAGACATTGTGATATAAAACCGATTTCCAATGGCCGCGCTTTTAATTTTATATCTAAAAAATCTATAAGTTCGTTAACCCGAACAGTATTAGGCCATGGAGTGCGCCACAAACAACTTGGCCATAAATTTGAATAATTTTGTGCAAATACATTTCTATAAATAACGATTACTTGATATTTTTCTAAATTAAGCCAATTTAATGTTATATGATCAAACATAGAAGCTACGGGACACAATTTCGTCTGAAATATTCGAAAAATTGTTTCAACAAGATGAGAATGATCCATTTCTGAGAACGAATAGAAATGCTGAAAATCTAAGATTACAATTTCATTATTATGGAAAGATAGCCATTCTGCTATTTCTTGTAATGGTTGATATATTTTCGATCCATATAAACCATGAACAAAATAAATATTTGCATCTGTTGGCTTGGTTGCAACACGTAAATCCAGATATCGTATTCCACCATTGAGCTGATCCTTAATATTTTCATGTTGTGTAATAGACCAATTAAAAATAATGGGTTTTGAGACGAATGAACAATAGCGACCAAAAGCTCTGATATATTTTGGTTCATCGGGTCCCACATCATTATGTCGCTTTATGGTATAAGTCATCGTATCATGAGAACCTATTAAGAATTATCAATTCACGTTAACATTGATAACTAAATTTATTACTTTGAGGTCAATTTAATCATACAATGTAATTTTAAAATTATTTTAATTTATTAATATATTTTAATTTATTAATATATAATCAATTTTAATTAATTCTGATTTAATAAAACTAAAAAAATTTTTTTAATTCAAATGAATATAGATTTTAGATCATAGAATTTAATTTAAAATATAATTTTCATAAAATAAGAAAATATTTTGAAACTTACCGGGTATTGCCAAATATATTATGGGAAGATTTTTCAAAGCTTCCGGCAGTTGAGTCATCCAGTATTCTAGTTCTTTGTTTAAAATAATATTGTTTCGTTTTGATCTATGTAAAACATTGTCAGTGTCTTTCATTTCGTATTCCATATTATTTTATTTTTAGTGTTGGTTACGTAATGATTTTTTTTAATGAATTTATATAATGAAAAAATAGAAGATGTAGGTGTATATTACCTACAATCAAGTGACGCGTCAGTTGATGTTCTCCATCCTTTATAGGTTTTTTCAAATTAACGTTCCCACGGTGATGTATTAATCACCTTGCACCTTCTTCCGACACAGAAATGAACGGTACAGATTCATAAAACTTAACCTCATGGTCATTTAATTATCCTATCCCTCTTTCCTACAATAAGGAAGTTAACTGCACGAGTTTATTACAACATAATATTGCTGACATGATATTGGTAACATACTTTCATCATATTTATTTATTCAGTGAAAGTTGCACATTATTGTAACTTCATAAAATTTATATTGAAATTACAATATATATATATATTTATTATAGCATATTTTTATGAATAAAATTGTAAGATGATTTTTTTCATTAAATAAAATAAAGTTTAAAAATATTTAAAATGTAAAAATATTTAATAATCTTAAATAGTGAAATTTTATTATAGTTTTAATTGAAAATTTTAATTTTAAATGATAAACTAGAAAAATAAAGTAGAAAATAAAATAGATAGATAATTTTTTTAACGATACAATTATTATAGTTTAATAATTAGAAATTAAAATTTAATTTTTAAATTTGAATAATTCTCATTATATCGATGTAATAAAAGTTTTTAATTTTTTATTTATTTATTTTATGTATTTGTATATATATATTTTATATTTTCCTGTTATATTGAATAAAAACATAATGACTTTATTTTATTGTAAAATAATTATTAAATTAAATAGAGCAATTATTATATTAAAGATAAAAATAAATGAAAAGATGAGAAAATGATCGATGAAATTTAGTCAATATCGTTCACAATATTCTTTGTCACATATATTATATATTTTATTTATTATATACTCTTATAATCTATAGATCATTTAATTCAAATAAATTTTATGTTCAAATGTAAAAAATGAAGTTTAATAGAGAAAAAATTAATTAATTTCAAAAGTAAATAACTATTAAAATTAATTTTACTTGTATAAAGTTAATGTATATAATATAATGTATATATAAGTTATATAATTTGTTTAATTCAATTTTTAAAATATGAGTTATAAAAATCATTATATAGAAAAATCATATTTAAAGAAACATTATTGAATAATTATTCTTTTTTTTTCTTGTATTTTTTATATGTACATATATATATTATTTAGCATTTGTTATTTATACAAGATTTTTTTTTGTTATTTATAACAAGATTTGTATATATAATTAAATATATAATATAATAATAATAAAAATAATAAAACAAGAAAATCCAATTTATACATTTATAATTAATCATTTCATATTATGCTATCTAAATTTTTTCAATTAAAAATTAATATTATAATAAAATATTTTATATCATGAATACATAAACAAAATATAGCTCTTATCAATATAGTTGATTCTGATAATTCAATAAAAAATATAAATTTTTTTGAAATGTTTTTCATTGAATTATCGGAACCAATTTAAACTTTTCAAAATCTCATCAGTTTAAAATCTCTTCATTTTTTATTTTTGTAAATTTTAAATATATTCCTCCTTTTGGTGTTAATAAGAAAGCAGCTGGATTAATTTCATATGGAATCATAGTTTTATTGCAAACTTCAACTTTATAATTCCAAAGTATTGTTATCAAACCAATTTTGGATTGGTAAACTGCAAATCGTGCTCCTGAAATATATGTTAAAAATATTATTGAATATGATAAAATTGAAATTTTTATCACAATATCTTTCTTTAAATTTGAATTTTTAAGATATAAAAAAAAATTATAGATAAATATACCAATACAATTTCTGGGTCCATCACCAAAAGGTAAATAGTGCATTGGATGTCGTGTTGCAATGACATCATCATTAAATCTTTCAGGAATAAAAGCATCAGGATTTGGATAAATCTTAGGATCATGATGAATTGCATATAATGGTATCCATACAAAACTCTTTTCTGGTATAGAAACTTTTGTATTATTAAAAGTATAATTAGTTATTGATTTCCTTAATATAAGTGGTCCAGGTGGATATTTTCTTAATGTTTCTATAAAAGAAAAATATTTGATTTAAATAATAACAATGATCAATAGTAATTAGCAATTGCTATTGCAATCAATTAACAATAGCAATATAATATTTTAAATTTTAAACAAGTTATCTGTATTTATTCTTTTCTTTAAAAAATGAAAAACATGAAAAATTTTTAAAAAATACAATTGAAAAAGAAGATTTCATTTGTAAGATTTTTTGATATTACCGATATTGTAACATAAGATTATATAAAATTATAGATAATATAAAATATAGATGATATAAATACAAAATATAGTAAATAAATCGTTCCAACATACGAATGCAACAAACGAACCCAA